GCAATTTCAGATTACAGGTCTGCAAAGACAGAAGCTCTTATGTTTTATTTAATGAGGGTTAATAGTACTGAAAAATACATAGGACCCAATATTGGAAAATCTCACCTCAGTCAACATAACAAGTCATGTTTTCATTGTTTCTGCTGGACCAGTTTGTTTGGATGCTGAGATCTAACGCTCTGTCATTTCAGACATCTGTCCTGCTTCACCGCACGCTTGAACACCGACCAGGAAGTTCCTTTTTACCAGAACGTTGTCACACTGCTGGCCACTGATCAGTCAGAAGAGTGTGTCTGATTAAAAACATGTAACTGGTGATTTCACACTCATTGCAGTTTCAGAATGCAACACAAACCATTTAATCTTTGAGCTTTCAGAGCGATGAAGAGGCTTTTCACTGGAATGTTCAACTAAATGGACGACCTTCACTGTGAGAGGAAAAGTGGCTTCTTCTTTCTGTGATGAAGGAAATGAGCTAAAACAAATCCAAGTTCACTTTTAGACTGATTGATCTTGTCTGTTGATGAACACATGTACAAGTGCACTTTAAAAATAAAAACAGACTCGAACTTATGGTAAAGTACCGGCAGCTGTGGTTGCCAGAATTGTATCATAAAAGTACAGAATTAAATTCTGCCAACCACAGCTGCCAATAAATTACAGACATTTTTTTTGTTATGTTGTTTTTTTTCTGTGTGCTTTCTTAGTGTAAAGATTAAGATGATGGCAAAGAGTCCTTCCAGTCTCAGTGGAATCTTCTGCTGGTATTTCATCTGTGCAGATGAAATACCAGCAGAAACATGCAGACAATTGAAGAGATGGATTCCTGTAATGTCAAAGCTTCTATTTTAATAGTAAGAACTTTATAGATGCAATGGTTCTAAGTGATTAAGCGCTGTAGATAACTCCTCTTCCTCCTCTTCTTGGGTTAATGAAATGCATTCTGGGAAAAATAGGTTTTATACCAGTTTCTTTGTTCCATGCGTATAGCTCAGTCCTTCCTGCTGGATCCTCACAGTCTTATTACCATCATTTAACTCTGATGAGGCCTGGAGATTGAGAAATTAATCTGGATGAGATATATTGGAGAAGAGAGTCATCAAATAGTTGCAGGATATGTTGGACTGGACTTCAGCACCCTGGTTCACATGCTAGATAAGTCTCCAGAGTTTTTTCTGTGTGTTTGTGCCAAAAACAAAATTCTATTGTATGTTTTACTCAAGGTTTGATTTAAGTGTTTAAAACTTTGAATTAAAACTAATCAGAGAAAGAAATCATACATCGTTGTAGCATGAGAGTGTCTGAAATTATGTAAAGGATTACACACACTAGCATAACTGAAAACATACATACAATATTTGCTCAGAACAGATGATGGGATATCAGAGAGCAGAGAGATGGTTTAAAATAATTGACTAAGTGGGGGAAATATTAATAGGTTTGTGGACCACCAAAACAGTAATTAGCTGCAGTCTTGTGGGCTAATCCTCAATATTCCAATTCAGCTCAAATATTTCTTAAGTCTTATCTCAGCTCACAGGAGTCTCTGTCTGTCTCTCTGTCTCTCACACACAAGTGCACCCACATGTGCACGCATGCACCTACACACACGCATCCTTGTACTTCCATCCATGTAAGGACTTTGCATTGACTTCCAGTCATTTTCTGATTTATTTCTACAGTCTTACCCTGACCCTAATCCTAAACCTAACCATTATCACTACATGCCTAACCCTAACACTGACCGAAACTCACTTCACCCCATAGTCCTAAACCTAACCACTAAAGCTTAAAGAGCACCTCTTCTTGTGGGGCGGGAGTATATGGGCCCCATACAGAGTCCTCATCCCCACATGTAGAGGTGAACAGATGAGTAGCCCCATCTCACAGAGGACAGACTGAACTTCTACAGGCTGTCTGGAAACACACAGGTGTCTCTCTCTAGTGTCCCCTGGGATGAATCCCACTGACAGGCACTTTTATTTGATGTACAGTTACAGAAAGCATTTGTTTGATTGAACTGTAATCCCCTATTGTGAGAGTAAAGGAGACATGACCTATTTTTAGAAGTATTTGACAACAGGAGGCTTTAGCCTGAAGGGTTGATGTTTTTACTTCATGGAGCTTCTCTCTGGGTGTGTTGCAGGTAATGCATTGATGGTACTAAATGTAAACCTGAGTTCTGTAATCTTATCTTTGAGTTTTTCTGATTAAAACCCCGAAGCGATTCTCACAGACACACAAAGAAGTGTGAGGATGGATAGAATGGATTATACTGTTCAGTAGTCACTGAGGTGTTCTGTAAACATGGAGCAGACGGGTCCGACAAGGACAGAGAATCAGCTGATCAGGACATTTTAAAACTTCAGAAATGTTCTTTAAAATGTGCCAGCTTTTATTATATTGCACACAAAAAAGTAGGGTTTATGTTTATGCAGTTCAACATGTTTGATCTGCAAAATTGATCAAGTATTGAAACTTTCCTTATTAAATACACAAGTCTTCTGCTGCTGTAGCCCATCAGCTAAATGGCTAGACAAGATGTGTTCAGAGCTGGTATTCCGCATTCCTTAGTTATAACGCATGTTTAGTTAATATTTTAATCCATTCTGTCCAGAGGTCTCCTCTGACCTAAATGTATTTTAGTCCATACTTCTCACTGGATGTTAACACTTTTCTTGAACCATTCTCTGTAAACCTGAGAGAAAAATCCCAGTTTGCCAGACGTTTGTAAAAATAATCAGACCAGCTTGTCTGGAACCAATGACCAAGCAACATTCCTAGTCACTACAATGCCTCTTGCATCCTCTTTGTGATTCTTACATTAAATTTCAACAAGTTGTTTTCACAACATCTAGATGTCCTTAACAGTGAGCTGCTGCCATGTCACTGACTGTTCACTATTTTTGTCAAGAAGGAGGTAATAGACGGTGGCTTTATTTCAGTCCTAGATGTTTCGGTCTTTGCACCAATGACATTTACTTCTCATTCTGAACAGGAAATATGCATCTATCTATCTGCCCGTCTGTCCGTCCGTCTGAGTATTTCAAGTGAAGGCAACATAGTTCTTCATAGATCAAAACAGGAAGCAACAATTAAGCAACAAAATGAAACAGAGGAATTAGTTGACACAGACCAAGTATAGAAAAAATGTACTAAATGTGTACAGTGGAATCTCACCTATTCACATGTATTTTTTTTTAAATGTTTTTATTGTCATAAAGCAAAATATTCAAAATTAAATGTAGCTATGTATGTGATACAGCAGTGTTCTCACCAGATTGCATAAAGTTGGCCCCACAGTATTATAGCATAACAACAAGAAATTTGAATCACCATCTAATGAAAATGTGATACCTGCTTACCAGTTTATAAACTGGTGTTTGTATGAATCACTCTGTGATTGGTCCAGGATTTATTAGAACTGGAGTCTGTCACCCCAGTTTTCAGCTGGAAGATTGTCTTGTTTCATAGAAGGGAGGAGGCTAAATATGTTACATCCATTTATATAGTAGAGGTATTGTTATTTAATCTTCTAGCAAAGCTGGGCTGTTTAATGGAGATTTAATTTATTCAGTTTTTGGAAAAATTAACCCCTATATGATTCATATTAACATACAGTGAAGTGATATATAACTGTAATGGTGTTAAGTTGAATAAAAACTGCATAAACACAATTTAGGTACACTTGTTATCACCAAGTGAAACAGATAATAATGATTATAAAGATAACACAGATGGATGCTTGAAAACTTGTCATTCAAAATGTAAAAACTATTTTAAAAACAGACATTTTGCCTTAATGAAAAGCCTGTTTGATGTACACTTAAAGGTTATGTTAAATATTAGGGTTGTTGTTTTCCAAAGGTAAACTGATAAACAAGACTCATTGGGATATATGTCTTAATTAATTGAATAACAACACTATCCCAGATTGTTTGAAGTCAATAATTCTTAAATATTGATGGAAAGTAGTAGTTTCATTGGCACATTTTTTTAAACTTGTAACATGAAAACATGTATTGTTTGGTGAAGGTTATGTTTTGCAGTGTAATCTTTAGATTTTGAGCAAAAAGTTTCTTTTGACATGAAGTAAGATGGATGTATTGAGGGCTGCAGTCAGAGTCCCAACTTGAATGCCATCGAGAATCTCTGGATGGAGCTTAAAGATTGGGGTATTGGCAGAGAGACCTTCCAGCCTGAATGCGTTTGAGCTCAAAACCAAAAATAACTCAATAATACACCAATGAAAGCATGCACAAGAAAAAAAATGATCAGCAGCTATAAGTAAGAGGATTTTACTGAAATGCCAAAAAGAAAAAGAAATCTACTAATCATTTAGAAATACATAGTCACATTTAATAAAGTATGACATGTGTTTAGATTATACTTTTTTGTCTTTTAACCATAATGTTAAACATACATTTCATTAAGTCAAATTTCTGTCTTAAATATGGTTTTCAATTGATCTGATGTAATATTGTAATTTTTTCCGTTTCTTGTCAGTGGAAAATCATCATAATTAACGGAAATAACAAGTTTCAAACATCCATCTGTGTGTAACTAATCTATGTAATGTTTTTCACTCAATAATAAAGTTTCTGAAATAAATAGACTTTTCAGAAATGTTCTATTTTATTAAATGGGTGTGATGTGTATGTATTTTTTAAAATAAAATGTATGTATCCATTTTTAACTGATGTTGCTTTTAGTTGTTTCAGCTGTTGGCAGATGTGTGGCTCATTTCATATCAAACAAACTTCTGGGCTGAATAAAATCATTCAAAATGTAAATCTATCAACAGGTATGAATACTTTTGGCCTGAACTTCACCTCAACACAGAGCAGCATCCGCTAGAGAAGAGAAAGGTAACATGGAAGCTGAGACTCAGAGCAGGACAGTAGAGTGGATGTAAACATATGTCAACAGAATGTGCTGTGTGGAGGACAGGATGTTTCTGGATGACGTCACTGCGGGTCAAGGGGAGGAGACAGACTGACCTGCTCTGAGAGACGCCGTGTTCTCAGGAAGAACCCCAGGAGACACCCGATGACCACAGCCAACACGGACAGGATGAGGAGACCGTTCTGTTTGAGGACATTCTTGACCCTCACCCACACTGCGTCTAAAGCCACGGCCATCGTGAGCTGTGTGCCCCCTGTCCTCTCAGTAATCCATAAATGTGGCTCTTCCAAAACTTTGAACTCCAGGTAAGACAGTGAAAGTAAAACAAGCAAAGAGAAATTCCAGATGGCAAACGCAAGATATCCCAACCCTCTGTGATGTTCTAAAGGACCTTTGGGATCAGCATCCCTGTCGTCCTCACGCTGCGTCCGTCCGCACAAAGCTCAGAGGATCCTCTCACTTTCCAGGCATCACCACCCAGTCTGCTCCACCCATCGGCAGCCCTGCGTGCGCTCACCAACCGCCTGGGGGAGGGAGGAACTGCTAAACCCTGTCCCGATGGGTCAACATCCACAATCCTGTTAGAGTGCCGCTGAATTAAACAGGTCCGAAGCTGGATTAAAGATCTGTGAGCGATTTGACAGAGGTTATCAGAGGAACCTCACAGGAGATTCTGAACCTGGTACACTGACTGGAGAACATTTGAGCTCTCTGGTGTGTGAACACACAACTTTCAGAAGTAAGAAAATATTTTCACTATGCAACACTATGCACAAACTTCATATTCATATTGCACTGATAACAGCAATTGCCCCTGACAGCAAATTGGATAAAACAGAATGTAAGAATGATTGTCAAACTGTTGTGTTTTGTAATTTCCTACACATCACTGTTCAGGGTTCTGTGGGACGACTTCCATCTTTGACTTTTCCAGGTATTAAAACTAAATTCCTCAACTGTCTGCAGTTGGTGTTTTGATTAACTTTCAAAACATCAGCTGTGATCCTCTGTATACCTAAATGATAGAGAGAATGCCTGAAATATTCCACGCATGACCTCAAATGCCCTTTATTCAAGAAGCATTAGCAGAACTTCTACTGGTTCATTTACAATGAGTTTAAACCGAGGGAGTCTGGAGAAGCAGAAAATCTGAATTTCCACAAACTGCATGCTAAATGACTTTGACTATTGACTAAATGACTATTATCTTGTGTCTATATGTCTTGACCTGTTGCAGCCTTCCAAAGCCAAGTCCTCATGTCCTTTGTGTTTACTGTGTGTTGCAGGCCCTCCACCCTTCTCACTCGGCATGGGAATCTTTCACTATCTCATCATTCAATTCGGATTTTTGGGGCCACAATTTAATTCAAAACTGATTCTTGTTTCAAAATTACCTTTTTGTTTGTCTCTTAAATGGTGGCACACCTGTCTTAGTGTAACATCTAAGGCTCTCCTGTACTTCATCCAAAGCCAAACAGTCATGTCATCGCAGAACGTTAGTTTTTCCAAACACCTTTCATACACTCACAATGGGATGAGGATGGAAGACAATGAATGGATGGAGGATGATATTGCCAAAGCAGTTCAACAACTTCAAATAAACATTTAATGTGTGAAGGTAGATATGAAAAATAATCTACATTACGTAATACACAGGGGTTGCAAGTAAAATTATTAACAAAACAGTAATCACATTTACATGTGATCCTGAAGGCTTCTGCTTCCTGTTACACTTCAGTGACATGAAAGTCAAATAAAATGAGACACAACCATTCAGATCAAGATTCCTTTGAACCACATCTACACATATCCAGTTTACAATCACACAGGTCACTTTTGACAACAGAAGAATTTAATTTGTGCTCCTCAGATGCTTATGAAAACGTAAACGTCAGATCAGAAAAGTTATAATTCAACTATTTTTGCCTCAAGTATTTCATTCTACTCAAGTATTTCATTCTAAGCTTTATGATCATGAGAAAAGGATGAAAAAAATGAGATAAAACAGAAAGGTGACGTTTTTCTTCTACATTTTTATGTCTTAAAAAGTCAGCAAAACATTTATCTTTGGTCATGATATGTTTCCTGTTTAAGCACATTAGTGCTTCTTTCCAGTCATTTCTGGGTGCTATTCCTGAGACTTTATTTGTGACGATTTGACCACTTTTGCAGTCCTGTCATCTTCCTGTTGAATAACTATTTCAACAGGAAATGATTTTCTCTCTACAATCCCACAGAATTTGAATGAAGATGATAAAAGTGACTCACAGACGTTGGGCAAAAATACCCAATGTTGATCTACAGATTACTTATTCCATTTACTCACTGGAATAATTATTCTTTAGAGGTGTTTAACTGGTGAACAGGAGGCCCAGGGAGGTTTTTAATAGCTCATTTTGTTCGTTTAAAATTCACATAAACAGAATTTTTTCATTTTGGCTCAGAAGGCACATTCTGCCAACCCATTTAGAGTGATTATGGAGCTCTTAACAGCAAGCCTTTGTCTTATTGTTCTTTTAAGGAAACAGCCTGAGAGTTGATGTCCTTCTGGATAGGAAAAAAATTAAAGCAGCACAATAAGTCTAAAACAAAAAAACAAAACAAAAATAGAAAACACAGTCGTAGTTGATGGAAGTGTGTTGGTGATGCAAATCTCATGGCTTGACGTGACATCACAGCATCAGCAGTGGCGACCTTTTGAAACAGGAAGTACTGTGAAGCACTTGAAAGGTGCCATCATTGCTTTCTGCTCTCTTTCAGACTTTGAAATATGAGAGGTGAAAGGTGAAAGAAATGTTAGCATGGATATTTATTGCAGATAAAAAATTTAATGCATGAGCAGCAACATTTTTCCTGACTTGTGTTTGAAACTCCTGCGTTCATCGGGTTCTGCTTATCTGTCTGAAGTTCAATCTGCTTGAACTTTTTTTATGCTTTTCTGAACGTTTTTTGAAGGTTTTTCTGAAGCCAAACATCAATTTTTCTCTCACACACAACAGCAAACAGTTTAGTCACCTGAAAAACCCCTACAAGACATGAACTATGTTTATCTCAAAACATTCTCTGTGAAATAGAATAAAATCAGTTACTTCTCACATAGGCCAAAATAAATTGACACAGTCATGTAATTATCTGTAGATAATTTGAGGATGACTCTTGTCCTTCATCAGACAGAATGAATTTTTTCTGTAGAGGCCTAAGCAGCTGCAGCTGGAGGGAATCAGGCCTCTGAACCTTTCTGTTGGAAATTTGTTGGGTTTTTTTTAGGACATCTTCAGTTTCCTTCTTCAAAAGAGTAACTCGATTAGTTTTTTTAATAACATCATGACTGAGACCAGAAGGAGCCCGGATTAGTCATCAAAGTTCAGGTGAAGAAAATATGAAAGACTGTTTTTGTTAGAAGAAGAAGCTCAGAAACTGAAGCATGTTTTCATTTTCTGTACCTTCCAAAACTAGAATTGAACCCTTGAACAGTTAGACGTTTCAGTACATGCAATGAATCTCTATAAAATGATATTTCACTTCTGAGGTGATGCAAAGATAATTAAACAATGTTACAAAATATTCTATTTTTATTTTAGATATTCCAGTACATTCTCTGCTTCAGTTATTTAATATTCAATATGTTAGTAACTTAAAAATGTATTACATTATTGCAAAGATGCTTGAAAGTCATGTTACTATGTTTAAAATGACCAAGAGCAGTTGGTTTTATAAGATTATTGATTGCCACAGTGACAGCGTCAGCATATATAGTGTGGTCGCTAATGGCGTAAATTATAAATGAATCATTTGAAATTACTCAATAAAAAATGAAACTGCTAAGATGATTTAAGTTTGCTCTGATGGAGAACTTCTGGATCTTGACCCAACCGATTTCTATCAGACCATGTTTAAACAGTCGACTCTGTTCAAATGCAAACATCACAAATTCATCAAATAGATGAGATGCAATTCTGTCACATAGAGGAAACCAGGACTGAACTCAAGGTTCCTCACTGCTTTGTTTATCCGAGTCCTCTTTCTAAAACACGTCCAGCCTGCCGGTTCTCTCTCCCCTCCATCCCTGGCCTGTTCTATCTGCAGCACAGATTTGATTGAATTGATTTATTTCATCCAGAAGGCAGAGTTTAATCCTCCGTATGCTCAAGTGAGTCAAATCGATTTGAGCTTCACATTCTGTCCTCGCAGTGAGATCATGAAGTGTGCGGCAGTCAGGTCATATTAAGAGGTTGTCCAATTAAACCTCTGGGTCTGTTCATGGTTGCTGATGATACATCATTGAACAAACTTTGAGCAGTTGCACATCCTGACCAGAGGACTGAAGCTCGGTGCTGCAGTGCCGCTCTGGTCCAGCAGACAGCTGCATAGATGTGAGTAAAGCATGTGCTCACACTGCAATCACATGCTTTGGCAGACTCCATGATCGCTAATCCGTCTCTTTTGCCAATATTTCAACTGTGTCTGGTTTCATCAGGGAGGGATTACACAGGATTAGACAACCATGCCCAGGCCGACATGCAGTCATTCATTAAAAACCCATATGCAGTTGCTCACATGCCTCCAACGGAGCCAAAATTCACCCCTCTTGCCCAAATCAGATGCATATGTAGGCCACACTTTAACATGGGTTCTGGGCTTTTCCTTCAGTTTCAGGGAAGTGTGCTGTGTGATTACACAACACAGACCTGGTCACCTTGCTCTCATATCATTAACATGGTGGGGGTGTCATGAAGGAACCATCTTTAAAAGAGGCAACAATATCACTGTGATTACTTCCTAGATTAATGCGTCAAAATGTGTAAATACTTTTGCCAGGCAGAGTAGATGTGATTCTCTTCAGTCATTAGCTCCAATAATTTGAGAGGAAAAGCGACATGGACACTGCTGATGAGACTCGTTGGCTCATCAAGGACAGATCTTTGCAGTTTCACCATGAGAGAGAGAATGTCTAAAGAAGAGCAGCTTAACGAAGGCAGAGGGGAGGAATGTGTGAGATGTATGAAAGTCTGCAGAGGCTTTTCAATCTCTTAGCTGAATCTTCTCTTGGTGAGCCAGGAGAAAAATGGCATTTCACATCTGATGGCTACCAGTTTTGAATGAAGACTTGGTGGGGAGGAATGTGAGCTTATTTCTTCAAACCACTAAACTCACTGAACAATTAAAGGAAACATTCACACAACTCTGTTTAAACCAAAGTCTGGACATAATATCTGCATCATACAGGATGACGGATCGTTTCCAGAGTGATCCAGGAGTTGTTGAATCACACACACGTGCACGCATGCATGCACACTCACACTCATACACACACACACATCCTCCATGTTATTCCTACTGAGGGCACATCAGGCCACTGAAACCGCTGACTGAGGGGCATCATGTTTCCGTTCTCTTCGGGGAACTTTTTTTTTGCCCTCT